TGATGATCTGGTGATTGGTGGTGACAATCCTGATGATTTGGCGATTGGTGGTGACAATCCTGATGATCTGGTGATTGGTGGTGACAATCCTGATGATCTGGTGATTGGTGGTGACAATCCTGATGATTTGGCGATTGTTGGTGACAATCCTGATGATCTGGTGATTGGTGGTGACAATCCTGATGATTTGGCGATTGTTGGTGACAATCCTGATGATCTGGTGATTGGTGGTGACAATCCTGATGATCTGGTGATTGTCGTTGACAATCCTGATGATCTGATGATTGGTGGTGACAATCCTGATGATCTGGTGATTGTCGGAGACAATCCTGATGATCTGATGATTGATGGTGACAATCCTGATGATCTGGTGATTGTCGGAGACAATCCTGATAATCTGATGATTGATGGTGACAATCCTGATGATCTGGTGATTGTTGGAGAATCTGATGATCTGATGATTGATGGTGACAATCCTGATGATCTGGTGATTGTCGGAGACAATCCCGATGACCTAATGAGTGCCGGAGACAATCTTGATGATCTGATGATTGGTCGTGACAATCCTACTGACCTGGTGATTGTCGGAGACAGTCCTGCTTATCTGGTGATTGCCGGAGACAAGCACAATATGCCGACGTCTCTCCTCGTCTCCACTCATCTCTCTTCGTCTCCACTCATCTCTCTTCGTCTCCACTCATCTCTCCTCGTCTCCACTCATCTCTCCTCGTCTCCACTCGTCTCTCCTCGTCTCCACTCATCTCTCCTCGTCTCCACTCATCTCTCCTCGTCTCCACTCATCTCTCCTCGTCTCCACTCATCTCTCCTCGTCTCCACTCGTCTCTCCTCGTCTCGTAAGAGTCACGTCGCCGGCATGTTCTACTGCTGCTAATTATTATTCTCGTAGAAGCCATTCATTTGCTACTTAACCTGGCACGCGCCCAATGTTGACACACACGTTACACACAGGCGCTGTGTGGCACACATGTGTTGCGCAGTATGTTTTACGGCTGCTGTCATAACTTCGTACGGTTCATCCCCCTGTCAGTTATATAGGAACATAGATCAGTTATGTTATGATGTTATGATGTTCCAGTTATATATAGGAACATCACACTCTCAAGAAGGATATTTATATAAGCTTATATAAGCCTATTTAGTGCACGTGATAGAAGCGTCGGAAAGCATCTCCGCGGCCGCCGAATTCAGAAGAAGAGGAGAGCTAAGCGTCAATAACCTAAGATATTAAATACCTTACTAAGTCTCTGGTGAACTCCGGTCCGCTTTTCAAACATACTTCATAATCGGTTTAACCGCTATTTTGTCTTCACGACAAATTCCTTACATAACCACATAAACCCACACAAAGACAGAACGTTAACTTACGATTAAAACTCAATAAACGTTTACCGGCATTATCAAGCGATCTAAGACAAAATCAAATACTGCACAAATACATTGGTTGTAATCTACTACAAATTTATTATGAAAAAGTCAGTTGGAAAATTGTCACTTCCCTTGATATATTCTCTCATAAAATCATATCCTTGTAAATCAAATGACACCATCCTGCTGTAGATGGGGAGCGGGGTCAGTTCACATTATGAAGTGCTTGCTGTGCAAATAATGATGGAAGTAATTATATTACCGCTCCATATAATAACCAGGCATTCCAATTCTATTGCAT